GGGGGGGGGGGGGGTGTGAGCTTTTCTTTGGTTTTGGGGGATAAAACCAGGTATTTGGGTCAGAGGAGCTCTTCCCGCAGCCTGTTAGGAGCCAACACAAAGGTTTTGAGCCCGTCTTGTCCCGTTTTTCCCATAATTCAGTGACTCGGCCTTATTACAAACCCAGCTCCTGTGGGAGGAGCTGAGCCCACCGTCAGTGAAGTAGACACAGAGGCCACCGCTGCAAATCCAGAACCTGGATGGAGAAACGAGAGAACCCACCTTAGCAGGGAAAGGAGAAAAAAAAATCACACGTTTGGCTTCATTTTTGGGCATCCATATGCCTATATTGATGTAGAATTATTTCTATTTTAGCAGGGTTGGCCCTAAGAAACGCAAAGCTTTGCAAGAAAATAAACATATTTTAAAAAAATCTAACAAACAGCATTTTCCCCCACTAAAAACACTGCTTCCACCTCTCAACTCAACTGGAAAAATGAAGACTCTGGATGTTGCCTTTCCCAAACGTCATTGTCCCATTGCTACCACCGGATCTGCCTCAGAAATGCACATTTTTGGGGCTGAGGAAACACATTCTGATGAAAAACTCAGACTCACGGCTGAGAGAAACGCAAGTTGTTCACCCATTTCCATGGTTGCTCCTCATCTCCCTGTGAAAGGCCGATCCAATGCTCCAAGGTGCCTTGATATCTCCTCACGAAGCTCTGAACAAGAGATCAGAGAAAGGTTTTACAGCAGATCACAGGGCTTTGGGGCATCTCTGGCATCTCCAGAAACCTCCTTCCTACTGATAAGTGACATGCCACTTATTTGGGCTCTTTTGGTGCTTGAACCTTTCAATCCTCTACCAAAAAGTGTCATCTTTAAGGCAGAACTTGATTATTTCATAGAAACAAGGCGGGGTTTGTGATAGTTCTTGCTTTGGTAAGAAATTTTAAGAGATCCATGATCACCTTCCCTCAAGAGAACAATTTTCCCCATCGTCTCATCCCAGATCTCCAAGGAAAATCTTGGAAGAGCCAAGAGCCAACCTAAAAGTTGGAAAATATATTTGTGGATTTTATTTCAACCCCACATTAAGCACGTCCTGCATACTGTCAAGCATGGCCAAGGAAGCCCCAAGAGCTGAGCAGTTGGCCTGGCCAGATGTCCAGTTTCCTTCAACCTTCAAAAAATAGTAGCATTTTCTTCTGTAGCTGATTGAGTCAAAGGGGCACCAAAAACAGGGCATGGGCTGCGGGTGAAAAGCCTGCGCTGTTGCCAAGAGAACAATGGGATGGTCATCCTCCATCCCTCAGCCTCCAAAAATCCTTTGTCTGCCTCGAGGGTGGGAGGAAAATGAAAATTGAGATGCTGAGAGAAATCTTGTGTGGGTTGGGTGGAGGAAACCAGCTCAAATCATGGCCCAGTTTGTGGCATTGGACAAGAAATGGGGGTGCTCTACCTTCAGAGAAGAAAAAGGGGGTAGTGGCCTTCAAAGATACAAGCTTTTAGAGGGTTTCCAGAATATTCTTGTCCCTAAATGTGCCCTTTGCTGTTGCTCTCAGTCATTGACACAAAAGTAGAGCTGGAAAAGGAGAGAAAGAGAAGTTATTTTGTTCCTGAAGAGCTCTTGGCTTGGTAGGGCTCATCCCAACATCTCTTGCTTGGACCAGCAGAGGAGAAATGGCCCCTTCTTCTCTGAAAAAGCAACTTTTGGGACAACTCAGGTGACCAAATGTGTGAAATGGTGCTTTCAGTTGTTTTTTTTAAGGGTTTCTTAACCTTCAGCTCCTACACAGAGGAGATGGGTTTGGTCTTGTCTAGAAAGGCATCTCCACTTGTTGAAATGTCCCTCCCCTGGAGAGGACATCCTCTTGGGATGGGCTGGGAGCATGGAGGTGGACCTGGCCCCTGCATGACCACCCAAAGTATCTCAGAGGTGGATCTGGTGTGTACCATCCAGTCTGTGACTTTTTTTTTCTTTTGTGGGGAAATTAGAATATTAAATTTCACGTAAAGTCTTGTAAAGGATTTAGAGTAAATTTCAGTTTAGGCTGAACTGGCCCATGATGGTGACAGATGTTGTCCCCCCACCTCTCACTCCCAGGAGAGGAGGAGAAGAGAGAAAGAGATTTACGAGTCCAGCAGGAACTAGACTACTTTCATTGAACATTAAAAATAAGACAAAAAGGAAAATTATGAAATAAGTGCAATCTATACAAAACCATATGAAGCTCCCAGGACGATGTCACTGGCAAAAATTTCAGTTTAGGCTGAACTGGCCCATGATGGTGACAGATGTTGTCCCCCCACCTCTCGCTCCCAGGAGAGGAGGAGAAGAGAGAAAGAGATTTACGAGTCCAGCAGGAACTAGACTACTTTCATTGAACATTAAAAATAAGACAAAAAGGAAAATTATGAAATAAGTGCAATCTATACAAAACCATATGAAGCTCCCAGGACGATGTCACTGGCAAGCACTGGGAAAGTCTCAGACTGGAATCAGTGATGGGTGGGAACTGGATTCCAGCTCTGGGGTCAGGAAGACATGGATCAGATCAAAGGTAGATGACCAGACAGGGTCCTCCTTGGATGTTGGCCATTGGAGAAAGAGCTGACTCTTTGATCCCTCAGCTTTTATAGTGAACATGGATGGGATGGAGCACCCTCGGGTCAGTTTGGGGTCCCCCCATTCTGCATAGTGAACATGGATGGGATGGAGCACCCTCAGGTCAGTTTGGGGGTCAGTCAGGCTGAGCTGAGAAGTGGAATTACTAAATGCAAAGTTGTTTCTGTTTTACCTCAAACTGGGACAGGGGCTCACCCTGGTCCCCCTCCCCACATCTGGGTATGACCCCAGGGACCCCCCTGGAGCTGGGTATGAACCCCCCCCAGTACCTACTCCTATGGGAGCTATGGAAACATTCCCACCCTGCACCATCCTGCACTCCTTATTTTGGGCATGGGCTCCCCATGCATAAGGTGGGACCATGGGGACAGCAGGGGACATGTCCTCCCCAGGGATGGGAGGTCCCCAAGGTGACAGGGCACAGCTGGGGTGTCCCCACACTTGAAGATCCCTGGCTCCCCACAAGCTCCTGGCTGTCATAGGGTGAAGGACACTTCTGGGCTCCTCCACCATGTCCAAAAATCACAACCGAGCTCTCCATTCTACATGATCCCCACCAAAAAACCCCCTAAGATCCTTCATGTTCATTCTTTTTCTCCCTTTTTTTTCGATTCCTGGGACCGATGGGCTGCTGAGTTTTTCTCCTGAATAGACAAATGTCCTGAAATAGCAATAAAAACCTGAGCTCACTACCTGGGAGGTGGAGCCATAAATTCTGGACCCTGGAACCAGGCAAAGGTTGGAAATGTTGGGTGCAGCTCCCACACCTTGGGTGAGTGAATTTCCTCTCCAAAGGGGATTTAGAATATATAATTTCACTTAAAATCTTGTAAGGGATTTTGAGTGAATCCTGGGGAGGGCAGTGGGGCAGAGCCGGGGCTGCACCAGGAGCCGCTCATGAATCCCATCCCTCCCTTGACCAAGGGTTCCTTCCGACAGGTGGTTTGGTGGGATTTCTGGAGCCCCGTTGGGGGCAGGTGCAGCCCTTCTTCCTCATCTCCTCCATGGTGACTTTAACCCCCCCTTGCCCTCCCTCTGCCTCCCTTCCCACCCTCTTCTCCAGCTCCGGACGCAGATGGGGTTCCCCACGAGCCCATGGGGCCTCCTCAGTCCTTTCCTGACTCTCCACCTCCTCCGGCTGGGATCAGGTAGGGATCCTGCAGGGCTGGGGGGGCTGAGTGTGCTCTGGGTGGCAGATGTGGGGCAGGGGAGGTGCTGTGGGGCAGGAGGAGCTCAGCCACACATTGCTTTCACATTCCCTAGGGCTTTTGATGGCAAAGATCCATTGTCCTGGGACATGTTCAGTCCCACCCTGCAGTGCTCAACCAAAGCCTTTGTCCCTTCTGCCAGGGCTGGCTGGGGCGGGGAGGGGGCCATTTTTAGGGTGGGAGTCATGATTTTCTGGAGCAGTTCCCACCCCTCAGGAAACCTCTTTCTTCTTCTTCGAGTCCTCCTGCTCCTTCTCCAGTTTCTCCAGGGTCTTTGGGCCATGGGGAGGGCAAAGCAACACCCACGGGATGGAGAGGACACCGCTCATGCCAAGCTGGCCCCTTGCCATGTGACGCCTGTAAATTAAAGTGGGCAAAATCTCCATTTCTCTGTGTCTCCATCACCCAGCGGAATTCAGAGTGACAGGACCAGGCCAACCTCTCCTTGCCATCGTGGGGCAGGATCGTCGTGCTGCCGTGTCACTTGTCCCCAGGCGTGGACACTTGGAGCTTGGAGATCAGGTGGATCCGGTACCTGGTCTCTGAAACGGTGCACCTCTACCGAAACGGAGAGGACCAGTATGGTGAGCAGATGGAGGAATACGATGGAAGGACAGAGTTGGCCAGAGATGGTCTCTCCCGTGGGATCCTGGACTTGCGAATCTCTGGGTTGAGACCCTCTGACAATGGCCAGTACGTCTGCACTGTGCAAGATGGTGCTTCTTATGGAGAAGCTGTGGTGGAGCTGAAGGTGGCAGGTTTGTGTCCACTGTGTTGTTTCCTGCATTATGCTCCCAGTGTCCCTGGGTTGGTGTGTTCCTTCCAGAGCTCTGTCCCATCCTCACATCCATTTATTTGGTGCCGAAGGCCAACAGCCGTTGAGACAGGTTGGGTGTGAGGGGGGTCTCTTGCTATGTGCCTGCCCAGAAGGGAGCACGCCCATGGTGCTGGAGGTGTTTTTGGGGGTAGAGTGGCATGGACATGGTGGCTTTGGGTCTCTGTGGTGTCCTGGTGATGCTGTGTTGGTGCAGAGATGCTGCCTTGAGGCGCCAAAGCTTGGCCGCTCGGTGCTGCTCTGCCAGGCTGCTTTATGGGAGATCTGGGGCCATTTGGCATCAGAGCTCTCCAGTTCCTGCAGATTTTGGGGTGGGTTGGGAGGTGTGAGGAGCACGTGGCTGATTCCACAGCCCCCTGGGCACCCTGGGATGTGTCTGGAACGGGGTTGGGTCTTGACCTTTGAGCTGGGTCCATCCCTAACTGTGGGCAACCCCGGGCTCTTCCCCCAGCCATGGGCTCTGTCCCTCTCCTCTCTCTGGAGGCTTACGAGGATGGAGGCATCCGGGTGGTGTGTCGATCGGCCGGCTGGTACCCATCACCAGAGGTGCTGTGGAGGGATGGCGAGGGGCAGCATCTCCCCTCAGTCTCCCTGAGACATTCCCCAGATGAGAGGGGCCTCTTTGAGATCCAAGATGTCATCGTTGTGAGCGGGAAGGGAGATGGGAACGTGTCGTGCGTGGTGAGGAACAGTCGTCTGGAGCAGGAGGAGGCGTCGTCCCTGCACATCTCAGGTGCTTGCAGGGGTTTGACCTTGGGGGACTGGAGAAATATGCGGGGGGTGATGGAAGGGGAAGGGGCTGCACCTGCAGGTGTGTTTTAGTGCAGGAGATAATGTGATCCTGGTGTGCTTCAGGGGAGGTTTGGAATGTTGATGGGATGGGGCGGAGGATGTCCCCTTGAGTCCAGGGCTCCCACAACAAAGCTTTAGAAGCTGGAACTTTGGGGTTGTTTTGGTTTTCTTTTCTTCTCCTCACAAAGGGGACTGTAAAATGAGTCCTTTTCCTGATTTTTTTTTGTTTCTCAGCTCCCTTTTTCCACAATGCCCGTCCCTGGATGGCAGCTCTGGGTGTCTTCCTCCTGCTTTCAGTGGTGTCCGCTGCCCTCAGTGCTTACCTCTTCCGAAGGAAAGGTGAGTTTGCATCACCACAATGTTTTGCCTTTATTAAGGAAGGTCTTTATTCAAAGGAAGGCTGGGGACAAGGACACAGGGTGTGGGTGGGAGGAGAAGGAGCATGGCCAGAGCATCTGGCTGGTGGGAAGGTCCAAGAGACCCTGGGGAGATGGTCCAAGTGATGAAGCAGCTGCTCTCCTGACCTTCTCTTCTTCTGCCTTTGCTTTCCAGTGGTGCTGTCCAGAGCGCTGGGTGAGTCCTTCTGGTCCCTGACAGCAGCAAAGCTGGTGGAGCCCCCAGGGAGGGATGTGGCTTTGGGTGGCTCTTGATGTTTCTCTGGTCACTGATGTGGGTTGATGGAGCCCAGAAGGGGACTGGAGAGCACTGGTGCTGGGAACTGGGCACTGGAGGAGTTCTGGCTCCTGAGAAGAAATGGGGAGCAGCATTGAGTGAGCTTAAATCAGGCTGAGCCTTAAATTTCTGCTTAAGTCAGGAGTAATTTCCAAGAGCCTGTCTGGGCTGGGGTGGGGATAGGAGGGCAGAGAGCACCATTTGGGAAAAGGGGACTTTTCCCATTCCCCAAACAGAAGGAGTTTGGACTCGGCCAAGGGGTGAGAAGCTGTGCCCTCTCATCACTCATTGATTTTGTTTTTTCCTTTTCAGGGAAACGAGGTGCAGCACTGGGTGAGTCTCCGTGAGCTCTTCCTGTCTCCTGTCCTCTTCTGGGTGCTCTGTGCTTGGACGCTTCCCCTCTTGCCCGTCCCCTCCATCCCTGAGTCCCCTGGGGCCTGGGGAAACCCCTTCGGGGATGTGCTAGCGCGGTGGGCAGTTCAGGGCCACCAGGGCAAGGCTGGGCCCTCTCCCTTGCGCAGAGTCCCTGGGGACCAAACCATAGAGCATGACCAGGCTGGAGGGAGCCATCCCTGGGTCCCAGGGAGTGTTTTCCCACTCCCCAAAAAAGGAGAACTTTACTTGATCTTGAGCACTTTTGGGATGAGAAGCTGTTTTCTCTGACCAAATATTCCTTTTGCTTTCCAGGGGAACAAGCTGATCTTTTGCGTGAGTCTCCATGAACTCCTCGTGGCTTGATGTCCTCTCCTGGGCCCCCTGTGCTTGACCCTCTATCTCCTTGCCTATTTTCTCCATCCCTGCATCCCCTGGGTCTGGATAGACCCTGAGGGCATGAGCCTGTGGTGGGTGGGCAGCTTGGGGACACCACAGCAGGAATGGACCCTCTCCCATGTCCAGACCTGCTGGCCACCAGCCATGGGACGTGAGCAGGCTGGAGGGAGCCATGCTCAGCGTTTGGGGGTGTTTTCCCACTCTGAACAAAGAGGAGTTTGGGATCTGCCCACTCCTGTGGTTGCAGGTGTGTGATGAGAAGATGATCTCTCTGATCACTCATTGCTTCTGTTTTTCCTTTGCAGGGAATCGAGAAGCAGAATTGGGTGAGTCTCAATGATCTCCTCCTGGCTTGGTGTCCTCTCCCGGGTGCTCTGTGCTCAACCCTTCCCCACCTTGCCCGTCCTCTCCATCCCTGCATCCCCTACGTGTGGGTAAACCCCAAGGGGATGTTCCTGGGTGGGTGGGCAGCTTGGGACACGAGATCAGGAATGGACCCTCTCCCCTACCCAGACCTGATGGCCACCAGACATGGGACGTGACCGGTTAAAGGGAGCCATTCACAGGCTTTGGGAGTCTGTTCCCAGTCCCCAGACAGAAGGAAGTTGGGATCTGCCCAGGCTCTACCCACTCCAACAGGAGCTGCCATGGGCTGAGAAGCTGTCCCCACTCATCACTCATTGCTTTTGTTTTTCCTCTCTAGACCAACGAGATGCAGCACTGAGTGAGTCTCCGTGAGCTCCTCTTGGCTTGGTGTCTTCTCCTGAGTGCTCTGGGTTCGGCCCCTTGCCCTCTTGCCCATCCCCTCCATCCCTCCATCCCCTTGGTCCAGCGAAACCACAAAGGGAGATAACGGGGGGCGGTGGGCAACTTCGGGGACACCAGAGTAGGGGTGGACCCTCTCCCCTGACCAGAATCCTTGGGGACCAGTTGTGGGACTTGACCAGGCTGGAGGGAGCCATTTTACAGGCTTTTAGAGTGTTTTCCCACGCTGGAAAAAAGGAGGAGTTTGGGATCTGCCCACTCCTGTGGTTGCAGGTGGGTGATGAGAAGATGTTCTCTCTGATCACTCATTGCTGCTGTTTTTCCTTTGCAGGGGATCGAGAGGGAAAATTGGGTGAGTCTCCATGAGCTCCTCCTGGCTCGGTGTCTTCTCCCTGGTGCTCTGTGCTTGACGCTTCTCCACCTTGTCCTCTGCATGCCTGCATCCCCTGGGTGCAGGAAAACCCCGAGAAGATGTGCCTGGGGCCCACCCTTGGTGGGTGGGAAGCTTGGGGACATTAAAGCAGGGCTGGACCCTCTCCCATGCCCAGGCCTGCTGGCCACCAGCCATGGGATGTGACCAGGCTGGAGAGAGCCATTCACAGGCTTTGGGGGTCAGTTCCCAATCCCCGGACAGAAGGAAGTTGGGATCTGCCCGAGCTCTGCCCACTCCAACAGGAGCGGCCATGGGGTGAGAAGCTGTCCCCTCTCATCACTCATTGCTCCTGTTTTTCCTTTCCAGAGGAACGAGATGCAGCACTGAGTGAGTCCTCCTGGTCTCTTCCTGGCTCTGTGTCTTCTCCTGCGTGCTCTGGGCTTGGTCCCTTCCCCTCTTGCCTGTCCCCTCCCTGCATCCCCTGGGTCTACAGAAACCTCGTGGGGGATGTGCCTGGAGATGTGGGCAGCCTGGGGACTCCAGAGCAGGGATGGACCCTCTCCTACGTCCAGACCTGCTGGCCACCAGCCATGGGACGTGAGCAGGCTGGAGGGAGCCATTCACAGGGTTTGGGGGTGCTTTCCCACATCCCAAAAAGGAGGAGTCTGGGATCTGCCCACTCCTGTGGTTGCAGGCGTGCGATATGAAGATGTTCTCTCTGATCACTCATTGCTTCTGTTTTTCCTTTCCAGAGGAAAGAGATGCAGCACTGGGTGAGTGTCCGTGAGCTCCTTCTGGCTCTCTACGGGGGTTCTGTAACAGGGGCTCGGTCCCTTTCCCCCTTGCCTGTCCCCTTTGTCCCTGCATCCCCTGGGGCCTGGGGAAACCCTGAGGGTCCGTGCCTGAGCGGGTGGGCAACTTGGGGACACCAGAGAAGGGATGGACCCTCTCCCATGCCCAGAGTCCCTTGGGACAAGCTGTAGGACATGACCAGGCTGGAGGGAGCCATCCCTGGGACCCAGGGAGTGTGTGATGCGAAGGTGTAATCTCTGATCACTCATTGCTGTTGTTCTCTTTTCCAGGGAATCGAGAAGCAGAATTGGGTGAGTCTCTATGAGCTCCACGTATCTCAGTGTCTTCTCTCTGGTGCTCTGTGCTTGATGCTTCCCCCCCTTGCCCGTTCTCTCCATCCCTGCATCCCCTGGGTCTGAACAAATCCCAAGGGGATGTGCCTGGGGGCATGGACAGCTCGGGGACAGCAGAGCAGGGCTTGATCCTTGCCCCTCACCAGAGTCTCTGGGGACAGTTTATGGGACTTAACCAGGCTGGAGGGAGCCATGCTCAGGGTTTGGGGGTGTTTTCCCACTCTGAACAAAGAGGATTTTGGGATCTGCCCACTCCTGTGGTTGCAGGTGTGTGATGAGAAGATGATCTAAAGAGAGGAATTTGGGCTCTGCCCAAGCTCTGCCCACTGCTGCAGGAGCAGCCATGGGGTGAGAAGCTGTCCCCTCTCATCATTCATTGCTGCTGTTTTTTCTTTGCAGTGAAACGACAAGCAAAATTGGGTGAGTCTCCGTGAGCTCCTCCTGGCTTTGTGTCTTCTCCTGAGTGCTCTGGGCTCAGCCCCTTTCCCTTTTGCCTGTCCCCACCATCCCTGCCTCCCTTGCGTCCTGTCCACTGAATTGGGAGGTGCCTGGGAGGGGGGTCAATTTGGGAACCCGAGTGCAGGGATAGACCCTCTCCCATGCCCAAAGTACCAGGCTACCATCCCTGCATCACTTGCGTCCTGTCAACCCCTGAGGGGAGGTGCCAGGGAGGGTGGTCAATTTGGGAAGCCCGGAGCAGGGATAGACCCTCTCCCATGCCCAAAGCACCTGGCCACCAACCATGAGACATTGCCAGGCTGGAGGGAGCCATTCACAGGTTTGGGGCTCTGTTCCCACTCCCCAAACAGAATGAGTTTGGGCTCTGCCCAAGCTCTGCCCACTGCTGCAGGAGCTGCCATGGGGTGAGAAGCTGTCCCCTCTCATCACTCATTGCTTCTCTTTCTCCTTTCTAGCGCAAAAAGCTGAAGCACCGGGTGAGTCTCCGTGGGCTCCTCCTGGCTCGGTGTCTTCTCCTGAGTGCTCCGGGCTCAGCCCCTTTCCCTTTTGCTTGTCCTCACCATCCCTGCATTCCTTTGCGTCTGGTCAACCCCTGCGAGGCAGTGCCTGGGACGGTGGTCTATTTGAGAAGCGCAGAGCAGGAATAGCCCCTCTCCCATGCCCAAAGTACCTGGCCACCATTCCGGCATCATTTGGGTCCGGTCAAACTCTGAGGGGAGGAGCCTGGGAGGGTGGTCAATTTGGGAAGCCCAGAGCAGGGATAGCCCCTCTCCTATGTCCAAAGGACCTGGCCAACAGCCATGAGACATTGCCAGGCTGGAGGGAGCCATTCACAGGTTTGGGGCTCTGTTCCAACTCCCCACACAGAATTCTTCTCATTGCTTCTCTTTCTCCTTTCTAGCGCAAAAAGCTGAAGCACCGGGTAAGTCTCCGTGAGCTCCTCCTGGCTCGGTGTCTTCTGAGTGCTCTGGACTCAGCTCAATTCCCTTTTGCCTGTCCCCACCATCTCTGTATCCCGTTGCGTCCGGTCAACGCCAGGAGGGGTGGTGCCTGGAAGGGTGGTCTATCTGGGAAGCCTAGAGCAGGAATAGCCCCTCTCCCATGCCCAAAGTTCGTGGACACCATCCCGGCTTCATTTGCGTCCAGTCAACCCCTGAGGGGAGGTGCCTGGGACGGTGGTCAATTTGGGAAGCCCAGAGCAGGGATAGCCCCTCTCCCAATGCCCAAAGGACCTGGCCACCATCCCTGCATCCCTTGCATCCTGTCCACACCTGAGGGGAGGAGCCTGGAAGGGTGGTCAATTTGGGAAGCCCAGAACAGGGATAGCCCCTCTCCCATGCCCAAACTACCTGGACACCATCCTGGCATCATTTGCATCCGGTCAAATTCTGAGGGGAGGAGCCTGGGAGGGTGGTCAGTTTGGGAAGACCAGAGCAAGGATAGGCCCTCTTCCATGACCAAAGTACCACGTTACCATCCCTGCATCCCTTGCGTCCTGTCCACCCCTGAGGGGCGGTGCCTGGGAGGGTGGTCAATTTGGGAAGCCCAGAGCAGGGATAGCCCCTCTCCCATGCCCAACGTACCGGGCCAACAGCCATGAGACATTGCCAGGCTGGAGGGAGCCATTCACAGGTTTGGGGCTCTGTTCCCACTCCCCAAACAGAATGAGTTTGGGCTCTTCCCAATCTCTGCCCACAGCTGCAGGAGCTGCCATGGGGTGAGAAGCTGTCCCCTCTCATCACTCATTCCTTCTGTTTCTCTTTTCTAGAGCAAAAAGCTGCAGCACCGGGTAAGTCTCCGTGAGCTCCTCCTGGCTCGGTGTCTTCTCCTGAGAGCTCTGGGCTCAGCCCCTTTCCCTTTTCCCTGTCCCCACCATCCCTGCATCCCTTGCAACTGATCCACCCCTGAGGGGTGGTGCCTGGTAGGGTGGTCTATTTGGGAAGCCCAGAGCAGGGATAGCCCCTCTCCCATGCCCAAACTACCTGGACACCATCCCGGCATCATTTGCATCTGCTCAAATTCTGAGGGGAGGAGCCTGGGAGGGTGGTCAGTTTGGGAAGCCCAGAGCAGGGATAGTCCCTCTCCCATGCCCAAAGCACCTGGCCACCAGCCATGAGCCATTGCCAGGCTGGAGGGAGCCATTCACAGGTTTGGGGCTCTGTCCCACTCCCCAAACAGACTGAGTTTGGGGCTCTGCCCAAGCTCGGACCACAGCTGCAGGAGCTGCCATGGGGTGAGAAGCTGTCCCCTCTCATCACTCATTGCTTCTCTTTCTCCTTTCTAGCGCAAAAAGCTGCAGCACCGAGTGAGTCTCCGTGAGCTCCTCCTGGCTCGGTGTCTTCTCCTGAGTGCTCTGGGCTCAGCCCCTTTCCCTTTTGCCTGTCCCCACCATCTCTGTATTCCTTGCGTCCGGTCAACCCCTGAGGGGAGGTGCCTGGGAGGGGGGTCAATTTGGGAAGCCCAGAGCAGGGATAGCCCCTCTCCCATGCCCAAACTACCTGGACACCATCCTGGCATCATTTGCATCCGGTCAAATTCTGAGGGGAGGAGCCTGGGAGGGTGGTCAGTTTGGGAAGCCCAGAGCAGGGATAGCCCTTCTCCCATGCCCAATGTACCAGGCTACCTTCCCTGCATCTCTTGAGTCCTGTCCACCCCTGAGGGGAGATGCCTGGGGGGTGGTCAATTTGGGAAGCCCAGAGCAGGGATAGCCCCTCTCCCATGCCCAAACTACCTGGACACCATCCTGGCATCATTTGCATCCGGTCAAATTCTGAGGGGAGGAGCCTGGGAGGGTGGTCAGTTTGGGAAGACCAGAGCAAGGATAGGCCCTCTTCCATGACCAAAGTACCACGTTACCATCCCTGCATCCCTTGCGTCCTGTCCACCCCTGAGGGGCGGTGCCTGGGAGGGTGGTCAATTTGGGAAGCCCAGAGCAGGGATAGCCCCTCTCCCATGCCCAACGTACCGGGCCACCAGCCATGAGACATTGCCAGGCTGGAGGGAGCCATTCACAGGTTTGGGGCTCTGTTCCCACTCCCCAAACAGAATGAGTTTGGGCTCTGCCCAAGCTCTGCCCACTGCTGCAGGAGCTGCCATGGGGTGAGAAGCTGTCCCGTCTCTTCGCTCATTGCTTCTCTTTCTCTTTTCTAGAGCAACAGCCTGCAGCATCGGGTTGTTTTCTCAGTTAAAGTTCACTCACATCGTTAATTTTTGCTTGCATCTGGAGTAGCAGTGTATGCCAGTAGTGACCTTGCGAGCTGGGGACAAGTGAGAAATACAAGTTTTGCATCCTGAACCACATCCTGTAAAAAACACAGCACAGTCTGGGAAACGAAACCTGTCTTGATAGTAGAATAATTTTTATTGTGATAAGCGAAGTAGAAAGTAAAAAAATATTTTTGTAAGTCCATGATTGGGCATTATAGGGGGAGTAGGTTTCTGTCTTACTGTATATAAGTCTCTCTGTGTAGCAATAAAGATGGTTGAATTGGATTTTTGGATTCACTTACTGCATGACCTACGAGTCCGTGATTTCTTCATACGCTACAAATGGCGCCCGAATCGGGTTAAAGATTCAGCAGGATGGTGATCAAGGATCGGTGGCGTACCCCCATGAGCCGGAGGGAAGACGTTGATCACCAAGGAGCTCCTATATAGTCATCACTGCACAATTCAAGTTTAGCACAGTGAGGGGCCAGGGAAGGTATTATTATAATGGGGCAGTCTGCGACGAAAGCGCAGCAAATACATAAAGCACTTTTAATGAAAATCGTTACGGAACAAGGATTAAAGTTACAGCCTTTTAAACATGTACAGCTTTTAATATGGATTCAGGATAGTTGTCCCTGGTACCCCTCCAACGGGTCTGACTGGCAGAAAGTGGGAGAATGCTTGCAAGCGCAACTAATTGTTCATCATGATGTTAATCCCAATAATATCATAACATGGCGTGTCATATATACGGCATTAAGAACATTCCTCCCTACTGATAAAGTGTTTGCTAACTCAGATTTCTGCCTCCACCGGCTGATTTATTAGAGGACACAGCTCCTGCTAGTTCAGACCCTGACGCTGAGCCTGTCTGTGGTTCAGCTCAGCAGCCCCAACTGCCGTTCGCTGCTACGGGAGGAGCAGCTGACGACTTGGACTCACAGGTACCTGAGGATCTCTTTGATCCAGATCCTATTGACTCTGATCAAGAGCTTGATTTATACCCGTCCTTAACTCCGGTTAAAGCTATGGTAGCTTCTGCGCCAACCGCAGATCAGATTTTACAAAGAACTAAACGACAGACTGCTAGTCGTGCCTCCGTTACGTGTCCACCTCGTTATGCTCCTTCTCTGGATGTGCCTCCTAATAATTCTCATGATAAGGCAAGACGGGAGTTCATGGAAGAGTGTAGAAAAAGGGCTTTGCAAGATGGTGATATGGAAATGTTTCAAGCTATGCCTGTTATCTATAAACCCCAGCAGCCTCCTCACTATGAGACGCTGACATATGAAGTTATCAAAGAGTTAAGAAAATCCGTTAAGGAAAATGGTTTACAATCCTCCTTTGCTATTAGTTTGCTGGAAGTGATATCGGAGTCGTATACTATGGTTCCTGCAGATTGGAAAATGGTGTTAAAGTTGATGTTAACGGCAGGACAATATTCCATCTGGTTAACAGAATATCGTGAGTTGGTTGCTGCCCAAGCATTAGATAATTTGACAGCTGGGCATGCTATCAGGGCTGATCACTTGATGGGAGAAGGGCAATACGCAAGTCCAGCAGCACAAGTTCAAATGGAGAGATGAGCTTTCCAGCATCCACGCTGGCCTGACGGGCTTTAAAGCGAGTTCCCGATGGTAAACGTACAGAGCGGTCATTGCGAGTGTCCGACAGGGAGCACAAGAGCCTTACATAGACTTCATAGACCGTTTGCAGACAGCTATTTCTCGACAAATCGAACTTCCAGAAGCTGCTGAACTTTTGTTAATGCAATTAGCAGTGGAAAATGCTAACACTCAATGCCGCAGGGCTTTGGACCCTATACGTGGCAAGGCTACCACTCTGAATGATCTTATTAAAGCGTGCCAGCATGTAGAAACGGAAGACCACAAATTTGAGATGTTAGTGACGGCACTGGCTCAAAACCTAACTGTGGCTCGTGCTGCTGTTAAATGTTTTTCGTGTGGGCAGGACAGACAGATGAGAAAGGATTGCCCAAAACAAAGGGGAGAGAGGGATAAAACTCCAAATGAATTATGTCCTCGGTGTCAGAAAGGATATCACTGGAGCAATCAATGTCACTCTAAATATGATAAAAATGGTGATCTTTAACCACTCTGCAGTCAGGAAATGCCAAGAGGGGCTCACGGTCCAGTGCCCCATGCAATCCCAACAGGGCCCAAGGGCAGATGCTGCAATTAGCACCCCAGCAGTGGAACGGACAAGCAATGCAGGCATCATCCCCCGCCGTGCCACCCCCAGGAGTGCCGGGCTGGACGTGGCAACTGCCGCCACAACAAACGTAAATGATCCTTCTGTGCCCCTGATACCGACAGGACTGCAAGGGCCGCTGCCGTGTAACGGACATGCTTCGTTACTGGGCCAGTCTTCTACTACAAAGATGGGTTTGTTTGTTTTACCTGGGATTATTGATAGTGACCATCGGGGACAAATTAAAATCATGGTATGGACTCCGAATCCTTCTTGTACCATACCAGCAGGTGAACGCATTGCTCAACTAATACCTCTCCCTAGTTTGTCTCCTTTAACAGACGATACTGCTGCATCGGCACCAATCCATGGAGCAGGAGGTTTCGGGAGTACAGGATCTCCACAGATTTATTGGACTCAGCAAATCACAACTCAACAGCCCTTTCTTACTTGTCGGCTTAATGGTAAAGAATTTTCAGGGTTGATAGACACTGGAGCAGACATTTCTATCATCCGTAAGTCTGACTGGCCGTCTGAATGGCCTGTTGGGGACACAGCTGCTTTAATTACTGGGGTTGGAGGAACTCAGCTTCCTCAACAATCGTTACAATCTCTGCTGGTTGAAGGGCCAGAGGGGAAAATAGCTAAATCGAAACCATACATTTTACCAGTACCCTGGACATTATGGGGCCGTGACTTGATTTCACAATGGGGTTTGCTTTTAACAACACATTTTTGATTGGGGTTGCTGATGTCCAGCCACGGCTCAAACTTACATGGTTAACTAATTCCCCTGTTTGGGTTGATCAGTGGCCCCTCAGAGGTGAGCGGCTGGAGCGAGCATGAGAGCTGGTTGCAGAACAATTGCAGTTAGGACATATTGTCCCTTCTACAAGCCCATGGAATACTCCAATTTTTGTAATACCTAAGAAATCAGGCAAATGGAGATTATTGCAGGATTTA